TGACCAAGTTGCGAAAACAAGGTCAAAAAACTCTACTTTATTTTACTTAATTTTGTCTGTGGTATAGAAGCCAATTTCCTTATGCACTTGGATCCTAACTTTGACTGGATTGTTCGCATGTTCGATTCGTTTCAGGGTTTATTCCTGTGCCCATTGAGCTGACTCTTGTCCCTGGTCGTCACCGCAAACTAGTTGGGCGTTCTGCTGGCACTAAGGTCTCATCATTGCACTCTCATGAGATGGCCTCTCCCACTATTCGTCTTTATCCTGCTTCTGTTGTTTGTAGTACCACCGATACTAATAACAGCCAATCTGTAGTCACCTCGAAGCTTGAAGGCTCAATCAAAGCTAAGCTCGCTACGGCTGCCGGTCCCTCACTTGACAATACGCTATCGTCTCCGGATGATCGGCCTGATACTCCCGTGTACACGGCAACCCCATCCAGTCCAAACATTGCTGAATACTTAGCCAATACATCCACAACCACACCTATGGCCGCAGCCGTCACTACTAGCCCCTCTACTGCCATCTCTGGTTTTGACTCGTCTCCTATTGTCAACAGCGCCGTCAGTGACGTCAGTTCTGATGCAGGAGTTAACTCCATGGATTCTGACTTATATTCCTGCGATCAATTGACTACTGATTTGGCCAGCCTTGAGGACGCGATGCGTGCTCCCGCTACATATTTGGCCCGACATTGGCCAGAAGCGGCGCGTCACTTTGGTCTCCTCCCAACCCAGTCGGCGCGGGGGGAGACCCTTGTTGGCTACTCGTCTTGTGAAAACAATGTTGCTATCACTCCTGAACAACTCTCCGCGGGCCATGATGGAGCTCTCTTAGGTGGCCCTGAGACGATTCTTTGTGTTCTTACTACTACTGCCTGCTTCGCGCCTCGGGTACCTGATAGGCGAGTCTTTTACTTCATACCTTTACATAGAATCAATAGCTAGAAGTGAATAGTTTATAATGCTAAAAACCTTGATGGCCGCTTTAGTCAATGTTAATGCGAAAATAAGATATACTAAAGGCATGTGAGAAGATGATGGCTTATTCTATTAGCTGTCAAAATGAAAATAGGCAAGATCTATCTTAAGTTGTGCCTCTCATATTTGATTCGTCTATGTTCTTTCCCATAATAATGTCTAGAATTACCTCACTTTTTATTGACGTCTTTTTCCCTAATCATTAATATTTTGTACATTCTGACAACTAATTGAATTCTCCTGTTCTCCTACCTTTAACCTCACCAAAGTTTGTGGATCAACTTAAAATTTCCAAGATTCAGACGATTTATTCAATTTTTCATAAATCCTGATATGTTGTGCATTAATAATTCTGTATTGCTAAGGATTTTTCCTAATTAAATTCTTTAGATTTTAGCAAATCCGTAAGCACTAAGTTACAACTTCTCCATGAAGAGATAAGTTTATTTATCTTCTCTCCATTTTTTGGTTTCCTCTACACCTTTGGAGTGATCCTCTAGGATATGCTTTCATGCCAAATCCTTATATGGTTTTCTGTCATCTACAGCCCTCAACATTTTCTATTTTAAAATAAATCTTTATCAGATTTAATGCTCAATATTTTTCAGCCATGGGTTGTAATAGAACCTCAAGTTTTGATTTATCAGCGATAATAATGTATTTTGTGGTATTGTGTGGATTTTTTATATAACTGCATTAGGAATCACCTGCAGTTAAACTTGCTCCATATCTATAAGCTGGTCCTTAACATTTTAAAATCCCACCTTGAATGCTGTTTCCAATCCTTCATCCCCAACAAAATGATATAGTTAGAATGCTGTGTTTATCCGGCAACATAATATGGCTAGATGGGAGTGTATTTACCTCTGAACTAAATTCACAGTTCCAATCCAACTGGGGGTACTGATGAATGCAGCTTAGATTTGATAAAAGCTCTTTTTCTGTAACTTAAATTATGTGCCGAAAGCAAGCATTCTCTTCAGGCAATCATGGACGGAATCGCTTTTTCTCATAAGAAACTAGTCGAATCTATTGTAGCTAGTTTTCACTCAGCCTCTTTGTGGCTACGAAACAATCCTGTCACTTTCTAAACTTATCTTAACGGCTCTTGCCATTTTCTATCCAAAGTCTTCATTTATTCGCTTTACTTAAAAAAGATCTTTAAGTTTTTAGTTTCATCTCTGTGTCTAGGTTCTCGAGTACATTTGTCAGAAATTTATATGATACGACCTATTTATTATTCTGTGCAACTTAATATATTTTAGGTAGGAAGACCAAGATGGTGTGGCCTTTTGTGTGGTCGCAGTCTCCTTTCGTTGTATAGAAGTTGTT